GCGAACGGACCTGAGTGGGAACTCCTTAGAGTTCCAGGGACATAACAGACCCGCATGGGGCAGGTCACAAAGAGTGGCAAAGAGACAGTCCCTCTACACTTAAGTCTCAAATACGGAACTGCCCTGGACTCTTCAATATTTGAGGGGTACCCCAAAGAAGATGGGGTTCCCCTTATTCTCCAAAGCACCAGGACAAGAAGCAACGGATGGAAATTCACCAAGGAGAGAAGCAACCTGGAATTAAGGAGAAACTTCCTGACAGTGAGGACAATTAACCGGTGGAACTGCCTGCCACCAGAAATTGTGGGGGCTCCATCACTGGAGACTTTTAAGAAGAGACTGGACAGCAATTTAATTAATTAACTAAAACAATTAATTAATTGTTAATCAATCATTTGACTATACTATTATTCATTTATGTTTTACAAGATAATCCATATTTTACTAAATTTGTTTTATGACAGTTCATATTATCATCCCAAATCTATCCTAAAATCATTTTGTAGATGTAATAAGAAAGAAGTACATCTTTATATATTTATTATTTTCTAAAAGTCTACATATTTCATTACTGTATTTTATTGTCTAGCCATTGATAGAATAGATCCCAAATTTTATAAAATAGTTTATCTTCTTGTTCTCTGATTTCAAATGTCAATCTACTCATTTCAGCACATTCCAATATTTTCTTAATAATTTCCTCCTGTGATGGTATTTTCTCATTTTTCCAGTTTTTGGCAAATACAATCCTAGCCGCTGTTAATACATTTACAATCAAATATTTCAATTCTTTACTATATATTTCAGGTAAAATTCTCAATAAAAATATCTCTGGTTTCAAGTCTATATGCTTTTTTGTCATTTTTTCCAGCCATGTGTGGATTTTAGTCCAATATTTTTGGCATCTGCACAAGTCCACCACATATGGTAATATGAGCTAGGTACCTGATGACATTTCCAACATTTTTCAGATTTGTTCTTGAACATTCTTGCTATTCTTGTTGGGGAAAAATGCCACCTGTAAAACATCTTACACAAATTTTCTTTATATGCTGTTGACATTGTCATTTTATAATTTTGAGACCACAATTTTTGCCATTTCTCTAGATCAATCCCATATCCAAAATTCTTCCCCCAAGCAATCATAGTTTCTTTAACTTGTTCTTCTAATTTAATTTCTAATAAATATCCATACAACTTTTTTTTAAAGTTTTATTGATTTTAACAACAAACAAAACCACATAAAACATACAACATAAAACATAAAAACATCATCCTCCTTCATAGATTTACAAGCAGTGTATCGGTTGGTTTACCACTTTTTTTTGTGCATCCGTTTCCTAGACTCCATTATAGTTATATTACATAATAACTCATATTATCAATCAACAATTGTATAACCTAGTATCATTACTGAAAAATCATTTAACTATAATTTTGTTAATTCATACTTTAACGAGATAACTATAATTTACTTAATTTATTTTAAAATTAATCATAAGATCATACCAAATCTATCTTAATAAAGTTTTATAAAAATAATATCAAAGAAAAAAGAAAAAGAAAGTATATATTCATTATATCCTAAGTTTCTAAATATTCTATTATTATGTTTTATTATCTAACCATTGATAAAAAAGATCCCAAACTTCATAAAATTGTTTATCTTCTTGTTCTCTAATTTCAAATGTCAATCTACTCATTTCAGCACAATCCAATGTTTTCTTAATAGTTTCTTCCTCTGATGGAATTTTCTCACTCTTCCAATTTTTAGCAAATACAATCCTAGCCGCTGTTAATACATTTACAATCAAATACTTCAAATTTTTATTATATGTATCAGGTAAAATTCCCAATAAAAAAATCTCTGGTTTCAAGTCTATATGTTTCTTTGTCATTTTTTCCAACCATATGCGAATTTTAGTCCAATATTTTCTAGCGTCCTCACAAGTCCACCACATATGGTAATATGAGCCAGGTATCTGATGACATTTCCAGCACTTTTCAGATTTATTCTTGAACATTCTTGCTATTCTTGTCAGGGGAAAATGCCACCTGTAAAACATCTTGTACAAATTTTCTTTATAAGCTGTTGACATTGTCATTTTATAGTTTTGAGACCACAATTTTTCCCATTTCTCTAAATCAATCCCATATCCAAAATTCTTCCCCCAAACAATCATTATTTCTTTAACTTGTTCTTCCTCTAGTTTAATTTCCAGCAAATAACTATATAATTTTTTAATCACTTTTTCATCAGTACCTGTCAAAATCCTATCTAAGTCAGTCAATTTATCATAAAATCCCTCCATTTTAGAATCTTTAAGATACCTTGAGTGTATTTGCTCATATGAAAACCAATTCATCCTTATGCCTTGTTCTTCTAGTTTTTGCATCGTTTTAAGTTCACTCTTTTCATCCAATATTTCCCCATATCTAACTGTTCCTTCTTATATATTATAGGATAAGAAAAGGCTTCGATAGTTGATAACCAGACTGGGATTTTCAAATAACATTTTCTCTTAATTTTCTCCCAATTCAACCATAAAGACTCCCGTATATAATGCCTTCTAAAATAGCCCTGCGATTTAGTTCCCTTATACCACAGAAAAGCATGCCATCCCAGTAATAAATCATGTCCTTCTAATGTCAACAATCTAGTCTTTCTTAATGTTATCCATTCTTTAGCCCACATTAAATTTGCAGCTTGGTAGTACAACTCCCAATTAGGAAGGCCAAATCCTCCTCTAGTTCTAACATCTTGAAGAAGTTTTAATTTTATTCTCGCTTTCTTACCTTGCCATATATACTTCAACACAATTTTATTTAATTCTTCAAAATCATCTTTACCAAGCCTAATTGGTATGGTTTGAAACAAGTATAAAATTCTGGGTAAAATATTCATCTTGATTGTTGAAATTCTACCTATCAATGACAATTGTAAGTTTTCCCATTTCTTCAGATCAGATGCTATCTGTTGTTTAAGTTTAATATAGTTATTCTCTTTCAATGTGGTACATCTTGACCTCAAATGTATCCCCAAATATTTAACCTTGTTCGTCACTTGAATTTTCAATAAGTCTGCCAATTCATCTCTTTGTTTTAATAGCATATTCTTTGCCAAAATCTTTGTTTTATCTTTATTTATTTTCAAACCAGCCATCTCATCATACGTCTCTATCTTTTCCAATAGTTTTAAAGCTGTTTCTAGAGGATCTTCCAGAATGAAAACCAAATCATCCTCAAAGGCTTGCAATTTAAATTCCTCCTTCTTGACTTCCATTCCTTTTATATTTGGATCCTCTCTATTATTTCTATTCAACACTTCCAAAGTCAATACAAATAGCAAAGGTGATAATGGGCATCCTTGTCTTGTGCCTTTTCTTATATTAATAGAGTCTGTAAATTCTCCCTCTATCATTACTTTTGCCGTTTGCTTATCGTATATGGCTTCTATTGCTTGAATAAATTTTCTAGCAAAGCCCATCTGTTCCAATAACAAAAACATAAGTCTCCAGTTCACATTATCAAATGCCTTTTGGGCATCTAGAAATATCAAAGCCATTTGTTTTTCAGGATGCACCTCGTAATATTCCAAAGTGTCCAGAATTACCCTCATATTATCCCTAATTTGTCTCTTTGGCAGGAATCCATTCTGGTCAGGATGAATAAAGTTATTTAGGTATCTTTTGAGCCTTTCTGCCAAGATGGAAGCAAACATTTTATAGTCTGCATTCAGTAAAGAAATAGGTCTATAGTTCTTAATTTGTAATGGATTGGCCCCTTCTTTTGGAATAAGTGTAATATAAGCTTCTGACCATGTTTTAGGTATTTTCTTATTTAACATAACTTCATTCATGACTTCTAGCAGTGGAGTGCTCAACGATTCTTGTAGTGTTTTATAAAATTCTGCCGGGAGCCCATCTGGACCCGGTGCTTTTCCATTATTCTGTCTGTTAAATGCTTCAGTTAGTTCCATCATTGTTATAGTGCTTTCTAACATTTTTTCAGTCTCTTCAGATATCTTAGGTAAGTTAGCATTTTGTAAATAAAGTTTAATTCTTTCCTCATCAAAATCCTCCTGCTTATATAGTTGTCCATAAAAGTCTCAAATAATTACCCTTTTCTCCTTATTACCATAACACATTTGACCTTGGTCATCTGTTACCTGTAATATTTTCCTAGATTCTTTCTCCTTTCTCAGTTTATATGCTAACCATCTACCTGGCTTATTTGCATCTTCAAAATAGTTCTGTTTAGCACTTCTAATTTTTTGTGCCAGTTCTTCTTTCTCTACCTGACCCATTTTATGTTTAATTATATCCATTTTAAGTTTAATATCTTTTTTCTGTGGCATATTCTGCAATTCTTTTCCAGTTTTTTGTGATCATCTTCTAAAGCTTTGATAGTTTGCCTCTTCCAAATATTCTTTTTCTTTGTATAGTCTATTATTAATCCTCTCGCATATGCCTTCATTGTATCCCAAACATTCTGCATTGAAGTATCTTCTTTTTTATTTTCATTGAAAAATAAAGCCAATTCTTTGCCCATCCATTGTGTGAAATCTTTTTCCTTTAAAATAGTACTATTTAATGTCCATCTTTGTCCTTTCCATTTAATTGTCATTGGATTATGGTCTGCCCATATACTTGTTTCAATATTTATTTCTTGAATATTAGATATTAATTCTGATGAAGTCCAAATCATATCTATTCTGGACCATGATAAATGTCTATTTGAATAAAAAGTATATTGTTGGGTTTTACCATTTCTTTCTCTCCATATATCTTTTAAATTTAATTCATCTATCATTTTGAAAAAGGATTTAGGGAGAGTCTTTCTATTTTGTCTTGATGCTGTCGCTGTATAGTCCAATTTATTATCTACAATTCCATTAAAATCTCCCATCATGACTATGTTAATATAGTCCAGTCCAATTGTTTTCAAATTCTTCT